AATTAATAGTTCTTTCCTTAATACCATCTCTATATTAATGTTTGGGAGCGTTGCTAAGATGACAATTAGTTAACATCTCGACATTAGTTAGAATGGTATTTTCTTCCTCTATATTAATATTGGGGAGTGTTGCTAAGATGACAATTAGTTAACATCTTGATATTAATTATAGTATGATTCATCTTCTTTAATAATATTCTTCCTTGAATATTAATTAATCCCTACTCATATTTCATATTAATATTTTGAACATTACTTAAAGGATCAACTAGTTTTGTTTGATATAGTAATTATTACTAGAAACGATCAACGAACCGATGGTTAATCGTTGATGGTTTCACAAGTAAGTAACTTCGGTTTATTAATGCACGGTCGTGATTAATAAACTTAAGAGGGATTAATTTTGTTGGTTAAACCGAAACCGTTGTGTTGAGGTTATCAATCTCAATTGATTTCATCAAGGAGTTAGAAAGATTAAATGCTACTATTAAATCGATATAAGGCGTTGTTCTATATTTGATTAATAGTAAGGGTTATTAATGAATGGTCGTTGTTAATAACTACCCTCGATGAAGTGGATATACTCCCCGATTGAGTATTCGAGAGGGAATAAGTTATAGATATAACAATGATCGACTAAAATATATCAACAAGTGGAAAGTAGCAATGTCAAGTCCCTTTTATTCTTGAATTAAACACATATAGGTTGTTCATCTTAGTTTCTTAATTGAATTAAATCACTCAAAACCAAAACCCCCCTTTTAATTACTAGTTTCATAGAAAGAAAATCATTCCTTTCCCTGTGGATACGAACTCTACAACGCTATACTACGTATAAGTGTTAGTATTGAAATTATTTTGACACACCGTGACAAAGTGCTCGTCAGAAACAATACTAGTTGATACTTTAAGTAATGTTTAAGATATTAACATGAAATATGAATAGGAATTAATTAATACTCAAGGAAGAATATTAAAGAATATGAATCCTACTATGATTAATATCAAGATGTTAACTAATTATCATCTTAGTAACACTCCCCAATATTAACATAGAGGAAGAAATAGCTATTACTATAACCAATGTCAAGATGTTAACTAATTGTCATCTTAGTAACACTCCCCAACTTTGATATAGAAATAGTATTTTAAAGGAAGAATTAATATTCAAGGAAGAAGATTAAAGAAAATAACTCACAACTTACAAATTCATTAAGCTTCAAAGTAGCAAAACCAAGATGGAAGAGTTTAGCTCCTCATTTAGAGACTAAACATGATGAAAAATATAAAGAAAGAACTATTCTATACTGAGCTTAGATGTACAAAGGAATTGGATATCTTTTGTGAAGGAAAGGAGGTGTATTTATAGGCTTTTTGGGATGGGATTCAGGTACTCGATCGGGTATATACATGGTACCCGATCGAGTATGTGTGTAATACTCGATCCGAGGTGTACTCGATCGGTTTCAGGCTGTTTTCCATAAGTATACCCGATCGGGTATATGTTTATACCCGGTCGAGTATGCTTAGAAAGTGGTATTCGGACCATACTCGACCGATCTTTGCTTAAAACTCAAAGGCATACCCGATCGGGTATGTCGGTCTACCCGATCGGGTATAGACATTAAATCGTGGCCGAAATCCTCCTGGCATGTTCCTTTGTCTTCGGATCTGATCCGATTTGAAGTTCCAACCTAATACCCGATCGAGTATAGTTAATACTCGACCGAGTATAGACCAAAATTCAGGATCTTCTTTTGTCTTCAAATTTTTGCACCTTCTTTCCACTCTTTGGGTTCACCAACTGTACTTCAAGTGATCAAGACCTGTTTGAGCTCAGAATATATCTAATCTAAACTATTTACAAGAATTTAACAAACTAATCTATTACACCAAAAGTGTGTAATTTCCATAGTAAAGATCAAGCAAAACTAATTAAAAACACAAACATGTATATGGAAATTACAAACGTATCATAAACTTAGAAATGGACATTCTTAGGACACTGTTATTAGCATTTAGCCTTTTTAATAGGGTGCTCCTAAATTAGGACTCTGCTATTTAGTAGGTTGCTCTTATTTTTAATAGAACACTTGCAAGGTGCTTTTATTAAAAACAAGACTCTACACAATAGTAAGGCGCTCCTTTTGAATTAGGGTCCATTCCTTAAGTTTTTATTGAGGAGAAGCAGTTCCCCCTCAATCTGTGATAGTCTTCTCATAAGCAAGATGAACGTAATAACGTTTGCCTCAAACCTTTGAGTAGTTCCCCCTGAGTTATGTGATTAGGAAGAATACCTTGAGTGTTTTCTGGCATATATTCCTTCTTCAAGGTTATTCAACGTTTAAGCTCTTGCTTTGAGGAATAGATGTGCTAGGATCCTTTGTTGACCTGAAATCTCATTGTTGTAGACATCATCAAAATCTACCTTTAGTGCAATATGATCCTAACAATCTTAGTGTGATGTTGTTGATGTTGGTTTAGTCCTTCTTTGAATAAGGCCATTCTGATTGGGATTGAACATCATCTGATACATCCACTTATATCTGGTGGCTGGAGAAGAAGATCTTTTCAGCTGATTCCTTGTCAGCAGTTTTTCAGCAAGCAGCTTGAAGCTTACTGTCTTGAGAATCTCTTCTTTCCTGTGAGCACATCTTTGATGACATTCTTGAGAACATGATGTCTTCTTCTGTCATAGACAGGCGTGTGCTCAATAGATAATTCTTTAAACCATTAACATAAGTTGTGTTAATGATCTGAGAATTTCATTTTGTTTATTTCCAGTATTGACCTCTTTATTCCACTCAATACTTCCATCATCTCTTTGCCTTGTTGGTTCTTCCTTTCCTTTAAGAGCAGTTAGTACCATTCATGATACTATGAGAAACACACAATAGTCTTTTGATATTCATAAACATCGGTTGTCAATTGATGAATAATGAACTCATTAGATTTTTGTTTGTTTCATGATATTGATTGCTCTCTTCTCCCTTTATATCATTGAATCTCTTTTGAACGTACCTTCACTGATCCTTTTGTGGACTGGTTGACTTCTCAAAAAATGTTGTCAGCCAGAAGGGTGTGTGATAGGTTCTCTGGTATGGGAGTAAGGGTAAGGAGGGTGTATGATGATGTGGAAATATATAGTTGGTTACTGGTCCATTTGTTTATGGAGTTGATATGGATAATGGATGGACCAGTAAGTGTATTAGTTTTCTGGAGGTTAGGAACAGATTTGATAAAGTCATATTCAATGCCAATCCAGTGATCTTCATTAGTAATGAACATAATGAGATTTCTCAGTTTTTATTCCTCATAAGATTGTCTTCAATCATCATATCCTTTTAGTACTGTTGCTATTTTCGGATTTTCTGATGTTTCAAAATTTTCTGTTTGTGAAGGAATAAATTTATCTCAATGTTCTATGAAGTGAAGCACAGTTGGGATAAAGGTGTGAACATTCAAGATAAACTGAGTTACTGGAGATGTATTTGAATATACCTCTTCATGAACATCTTTCTTTGTAGAGTTGGCCAGAATTGTGATGTCATGATAGTAGGTTTGACTTCTTCTTCTTTGTTGAAAAGCAGTCCCTTTCCTTGATGTGTGATCATAGGTTGCTTTCTCCTTCCTTGTCTCTTCATTGAAGAGTATCCTTCCTAGTGTTTTCCATCTATGTCCTATAAGTGTTTTGGGAGATTGGTGGTTGATCTTTTGTTCAATATAAGCCTATTAAAAACTGACTCTATGAACAACCGCTCTGATACCAATTGATGGTCCCAAGTGAGGTAGAAGTCTAGAGGGGGGGAGAATAGACTTCTAAAAATCTTTTCTTTTCAACCCTTTTTCCTCTAACAGAATGTGTTCCAATACCTTTTGGGAGATATTGAAACATACAGCGGAAATCTTGACCTCAAGAGTGTGACACTTTATAGGAACAATCGTTATGACTCTTTTAGTTGTAACAGAGATGGGTGGACAGAACACTTTTGTGTGAAGGATTTGGACCTATTGTCATAGATCTCTTTGTAGTGCGTAGGTAAGGAGTTTTTGGTTCACAGAAAACTTTAGGGAGTTTTCTGGACAGTGAATATGCAAGTCTTTGGGATAGTGTGATGGTGAGTGAGAACTGAAGTATGTGTTGGGTGCTGAATATAAAAGGTACACAATATATATCCTTGTTCAGAGGTGGTGTAATCCTCCTACATCCAGTCCCAACCTATTTCAGATGGATTTTCCACTAAATGAATATCCCATTACATTTAGTGCCCGATCTACTCCTGGGCCGGGCGTAGATTGTGAGGTTTTTCACAAGGAACCACACTGTTCCAAGCTACTCATGTCCTCCAAGGTTTTTCACTAATGGCTTGCCCAGCCAGAAGCTACTCATGTCCTTGTCTCACCTTCTGGATGATCACACACATCCCAGAATGAATACATTAGACTAGTTTACATGGGTTTAAATTAATCTACCAACTAATCTAAGCTATATAGATGTGTATGAATGATAAGCTATTCTAAGAGCATTAGATGAGTGGGGTGGTAGCCAGAGTGGTGAAGGTGAATCATCTAGCTGGATGTTTTCTTGTAAACCTTGATTCCCTTCTGTTCCACTTGGTTCCGATATACCAGGGTTTGTTGCCATCTGGTGCCACTCTTTTGGTCTTCCTGCACTCCTTCTATATTTATAGTCTTTGTTGTTGAATCTCCTCTGTTGGCTGAGTGATCCAATCGTGATCGTAGCTTGATCTACTTGCTTTGTTCCACTTGACTGGGCAGCATGGTTGATTCTTGTCTTCTTGTGACACGGATCATTTTATCTTCACTCAACTTGATTCCTCATTTCAAGGCAAAGATAAGATGATTTATCTTTATCTTTTTAGCTTACAGGAATTCAGTATCTAGGTCGAGTGTTGTTTAATGCTTTCCTAAAGATAGGATTACTTGCTTTTAGTAAATAATGTTATCAGAAATTTTGTCACATAATTTCTTGTAACATTATTTTCTATGCATTCTGTCATTCTGACTGCAAGTCGGTCTTCTGTCTTCTTGTTTCTGTGCTAGGAGAAGAATAGCAGATGTTGAGATTTTGATTAGGATACCTCAACAGAATACCTTACCAGAATACCTATGAGGTCTTCTGTTCTGGTGTCAACAGAGAACCACCTTTGTTTGAGGTTTTCTGTTATGATCATAACAGAAGGTCTTCTCGTATATATCAGAAATCTTTACTTTGGTGTCACCAGAGTTGATCAGTTCTGATGTCCATCAGAGTTGAGGTTCTCTGTTGTGACCAGGTCATTGAAGGTTTTCTGATTAGTTTAATCAAAAGGGCTTCTGTTAACTCTTTTCGTACCTTTTTCTTTTTGTTTCTTTTCTCTTTGTTTTATGGTATGTTTCTTCTCTTTTTAGTACTCTCTGTTTTTCTTGAGTAATTTCTCATTTTTGAGCACATTACAATAAACAGTAGTAAAACAAATACAAGTGCTAGTCTATTACAAGGATATTATACAAAAAGGGGTGACATCATCAAAACAATACTTGTTCATCAAAATCTAGGGGACCTAACAGTAGCCAATGTATCCATCCAAAAGTGACTGGAGCTAGAGATGTGAAGCAGTTGTGATTGCGACCACCTTTGGCGAGAGAGATGAGCATCGTGGTGCAACCGCACGCCACCGATACTCGGTGAGACCTTGTCGATTTCAAGCATTCAAGCTCATTGAGCAATGCTTTAGTACTGGTGAATGTGGCCATGTTGTCGATGAGTCTGTAGAGATGGAGAAGTTGGGGAAGATATTCTATTAATTTTAATACGGAGTATGAAATACTAAAATGAACGGTAAAATTGGATAGTAATAATAGAGTTTTATGAAATAGAATTAAATAAATCAAAAGGATGGACAAACCATGACAGTCCTAAATGGTAAGCTTTCATTGATGTAGTCTTACAAGCAATTTAAAAATAAAGAAAGCCTTGCAATAGACATTGTAGCTAGCTAACTCGTAGTTTTTTACCGGCCGGCCGGTCGGCATTTAAAAGAAGTAATAACAATATATAGTACGTGCATGCATGCTTTGATGCATATACAAAGTAATAATTAAACAGGATTATACTGATAATTATATATATTATGATGATAATAATTGGTTTGTGGAATAATTTAAAATAAGCTACGATCAAGGGTAGAGAGCCTGGGGGTAGGCATCAAGCCGGTCGAGCCAAGGGTTCCTTTCAGTGGGTTTCCTAACCCGGCGAACGGCCTTCCAGACGGCGCTGTTACACTTCAAGCCGGAGCCGAAGGCAATCTGCCAAACCCGGTGGTTGCGCTTAACGGCGCCCTTGGCCTCCATGTAAGCAAGCTCGTACCAGATGCTGCTGCTGGAGTTGTTGCCGAAGCGGTGGAGGGAGGCGCGGGAGGCCTCCATGTTGGCGTCGGTGAGGCCGAGGTTGCGCTGGAGCTCGTCCAGGATGGTCTTGCTGGCGGCGTGGACGCAGAAGTGGTCGAAGGCCAGCTTGTAGTCGGGAATGTAGGGCTTGTTCGGGGATTTGGTTTTGGAGGATGAGCCGACGGGGAAGACGCGGGAGGCAATGAGGTTGGCGAAGAAGATGAGCTGCTCCGAGAAGGGGAGGACGAGGGGTCCCAGGGTGGTGATGTTTGTCTTCAGCGCGTCGCCACCGATTTCCACCAACTCTTTGCTTATCCTCAGTCCCTTGTGCCGCTCTTCATCTTCGTCTTGGTACACGCACCTAATTCCATCAAATTTAAAACATCATTTTACTTAGAGAAAATTGTGCAAAATAGGACTAAATCATACAAAATTTACATGATTAGGATCTACTAAGTTTTTTCCATCAGTATGCTTTATTTAATTCTAGCTTTAAGAACCTTAATTTTTGTTTCCGTTTTTACCCTCCACCTTACCATCCGCCGCTGCACTTGGGTCTTCTACCATCGACCTGCAACCTCACAAGAGGCACCTCCATCTCACCTCCTGCAGCCACCAGGGACGTCCGCTTCTCATCTCCAGCGGCAACCTCTGCCTCGCCTCCGCCGTCTGCCAGCGTCTGCGCCGCTGTTGCAGATCCACCGCCGCTCTATTTGGGGGAATTGGGGCTAGGGATATTTGCCTTCGTTTTCTTCGTTGCTGCGCACTACGTTCTTCTTCTTCGCCGGGGATATCTCCGATGATGAGATGAGGCATGGCAGAGAAGACCCAGGTGCAGCGGCGACGACGCCCTTCTTATTCTCCCCTCCTCCTTGCGGATCGGGGCATTAGATTGATTGCTTTCAAAAATTTATTGTTTATTTATTGTCTACTTATTGTCTATTTATTGTCTATTTAATGTCTATTATTTTCTAAAAGTAAGGCTATTGTGGTCAATGCAGATGTAGTTGAGTCTTACCCTAATTTTCGGTCTTAGTTTTGGAAAATCCGTACGTTTTGCTCACATTTGTTTAAATCTCCCATTTACTTAATTTCAGAAAAAGAAATTGATTTAAATTATATAGCCCTACTTATTTATAATTGGACTTAAATTTGGTGGTTTGATATAGTGTGATCCGATCTGATATGGTCTCAACTAATGTGATAGCTCTCTAAATTGATTGCAAATATGGAGTATATTTTACAATGAACTATTATCTTAAATAAGTTTAATTCAAAATATCTTAGAATATAAACAAAATTCACAAATAGGATTAACAAGATTTTAATTTTCTCGGAGTAGGAGTCGTTTAGTCTTAACAAGAGAATGAAAACAATAAAATTTCTAGCTTTAAGGAGAAGATCAATCATATTTTGGAAGAAAACAACAATGGAGAAACTTTATTATGTAGTCATATCTTTGATTTTTGAAGTTAATGGTGGTAAATTTTGAACCATAATTTTGATTAGTATAATATTACCTTCATTCTCTTTTAATTGGAACATTTGACTTTTTGCACTATTTACATAATCTACTTTGATTGTATTTCATTTATTAATATATTATAAATTATATTTTAATTTTTTTTTTAAATTTCTCTGATTTTAAATTTTCAAAACCTGCATTTTTTAATTTCTTTTTACTAATAAGGAATTAAAGATATTAATGGTCAAACTTGTGCGTTGGCAAGCGTGAAAAGTGGACTGTATTGTGAACGGAGGAAGTATTGTGAAAGTAATAAATTTTATACTTTTATGAAAGTGTTTTTAAGAAAAAAACGTTTTCATATAGTTCTTATATTATAAATAATTTCCTAAAATAATATATAATTGGTCAATGTCAAACATTGTTGACAAAAAAAATTCAAAAATGGCAAAGTTTTAAGAATTAGTTAGTAACGTAGTAAGGGAATTAAAGTGTATAAAAGTTTGAGAAAAATCTAAAACCATTTTTAGATAGTTTTTTCAATACATCAATATATAAAATGGTTTCAAAATAGAGTATGCAAATCATGCAAATATTAATCACTTGCTACTAATTCGGATTTAGGCTATATATATATATATATATATATATATATATATATATATATATATATATATATATATATATATATATATATATATATATATATATATATATATATATATATATATATATATATACGGAGTATATATCTGATCTATATATTTATTAGTTTAAATTCTCTCCCACTAATAAAGTTGCGAATGACTTTAAGAGACGAATGAAATGCCTAATGCTTACAATTAGCTGGAGTTCGTTTCCGTAAAATAGTATTGAAATCGAACTTAAAATTGTGATGATGATAGTTTGAATGACTATATCATGGCGCCTCGCCATGATAGTTTGAATAACTAATCCAAAGAATTGCAATGAATTAAGAATCGATCGATAAAATTATTTATACTAAATTTTAGAAATATATATAGGCCTAGACATCCATTTACAAAAAAAAAAAACTCGTGAATAAATTAAATAACCACAGATATGCATATAGTCATGCATGTCCATATATAATTCAATGATTCAATCTTTTATGTGAATACATTTAAAGAAATTATTCTAAATAGGAATAGGAATAAAATTTATGGGTCATTCGAAAACAGAAACAGGCTCTCTGTGCTTTAGTACAGGGGTAAGACTACGTACATCTGACCCCCCTTACCCCACCGTAGGTGGGAGTCTTTGCGGCAATGAGGTAAATGAAAATGAAAAAATGAAAATGAGGAATAGGAATAAAATTTAAACAATGTGTACATATAAAAGTATCCGACTTTTTATTTCAAAAATAAGAATTATTTTATTATTATTTTGAACGTTAGTTCCCTGTCTCTACTCATAAATTTAATGTCCCGTGGACGGGTCAACTTTCGAAAATAGTCTTAATTGGAGGGAGAGGTGTACGTATGGAATGCATGAGGGTGATTTAATGAAAGAGCAAATGCCCACCCCCACAGTACACAGACGGTGGCCCGTAGGTCATAATATACTACTACCTGTCTCTCATATTTATCTTCATAGTTACTGTTCATATGATCAACTTAAATTATTCTTATTCATTTATTTTATATATCAAATTTTTATTAAACTTAAATTTTCTTGATCAGACTTTGCAGCGGATTTAATGTAATTTCTGAATATGTAAATTTAATTTATTAAAAATAATCTGAGTGTGAACAGAGATCAAGTTACTTTATTGTCAGTTAAGCATCGTAAACCGAAGTAGGATGATAAATATGGAAGGAGTACATTATAGGCCGGGTAGTTCGCCTGCCTGCCTGGCTGGCTGCTTTTAAGTGTCAATCAATAATTTAATTTAATTTAATTGACTTCATATATACTATCGTATCACTTTTTTTAAAATTTTAAATTTTGCTACTGTGTTTATTTAATTCCCCCAACCACCATATATGATACGAGTATATCTACATACATACTACATTCCAATACATATACCATACTACAAACCATACGACGAAACATGTTGTATACATAGTATGTACTTTCTATTTTTGGACGAAGACATAATTCTATGGCAAGTGGGATTAAACGGTGACATACTAACATATATCGGGTTGGTTTGAAATTATTGCACCAAACGGGAATAAAACGTGAGTGAGGTGCACAAATACTCAAAAAGTATGAACCGTGCAGACCTCCTCATCTATAGAAGTTATTAAAACTCTTTTTTAATATGAGTCATCTCATCCTAATTAATCCTAGTTAATAAAAGAATGAAAGTAAGTTTAACCTTTTTATGAGCAAATCAATCGTACTAAAAGGTGAAAACATAATACTTCCTCCATTCTTTTTTAATTGCACGCTTGTCAACGCACAAGTTTGACCATTAATAGCTTTCATTCCTTATTAGTAAAAGAAAATTAAAAAATTCAGATTTTGAAAATTTAAAATGAGAGGATTTTTTAATAGTATTTTTTGGAAATTTAATTTATAATACATTAATAAATAAAATATAGTCAAAGTAGAATATGTGAATAGTGTACAAAATCTTATGTTGCATTTAAAAGAGAACGGAGGTAGTAGTAATCTAACTTGAGAAAATGTTACTACTCCCTTCGTTCCAAATTGATTTGTAATGTCATCATAATTTTTTTGCAACGAATATTAAAGTAAAATTCTCCCTATGAATGATTAATTAAATTTTTATTAATTATAATTTACATATTAAGAAACTATATTAAAATCTCTTCGAAGTTGCAAATTCCAAATTAGAATATAATTAAAAATTAACATCTTAATTAAGTGAATATAATGAAACTATTTGATCACAAAAAAATCAATTCGGTAAATCAATTTGGGACGGAAGTATTTAGACTTCAATTATAGTAACCGGATTCAAGTTGGAACGTTTGTTATGTGACGATAACTATCATGTTGAGTAATCCTATCTCCTAATTAGCTGGAATGTAGCTATCGAATTAAATTAAATACAAAATTACTTAAAATATGAAAATCATGTAGAAATCATATTTCTAAAGAATGTTATATTTTTATAACATTATAAAATTTATAAACTACACAAAAATATTGTAGTTAAAAGCATTACTACATCCCTCCCCATTTGAGTTGTAAATTTAACCTTTTTTAGTCAAACAGATTTATTTTATTTACTTAATCATGATATCATTTCTTAAATAATTTTAATTTGGATGTAACTCTTGAACACGTACATTTTAATTATTAAAATTGAATTAATTATCATCATAGAGGAGATTTAACTTTATTATTGATGGACCAAAAAATATTGAATTTGTAAAACAATTTGGGAGATGAAGAAAGTATGTGTAAGGATGTACGTTTTAATTGGACTAAATTCAATCAGAGGCTAATCGTTTTTTTTGAACCACAATCATAGGCTAATCTAGACAACAGAATTAGATGGAGGTTGTATTATTAAAATTTTACAACTCAAATTGGCATAGCAAATACTACGTCCATAAAATTGACGTATATCAAACTAGATGAGATCATTTTAAACCCGACTTTAACCTATTAAATTTGACTAAAATTTCGGTGAAAGGACGGATAAGCGGGACTTTCGCGTACCGATTCCCAAATTAGGAAGATGCTCTTTTGTGTATGAAAATACAGGAATATAATGTTCCGGATATCGGCTGCTTCTCATACTGATTTTCAATCTTCTCTCTCCATAGATAGTGGATTAGTGGGAATGGGCTAATCCTTTTTTCTGTGGATGCGGGTTTTAGTTGGTGCATCCGTGCATGTCCAACTAAACATGTTTTCTTCCATTACATTTATATGAATTTTTTTGTTCCATTTATATAAGAATAAAAAATACGAGTAATATAAGTCAAATTTAGTTAAACTAGAATATTAAATACCTATCTCATTATTAATATTTGAAAATAAGATTTTTCAAAAATATTAGTGAATTAGAACTTATTTACAAAAATATGACTAATTATATAATTATTGTAGTAGCTTCATAGTAATTTTAGTGTACAAATTGAAATAAGTTATTATAACTAAATTAGTTACTAGTATAATTACTACACAAAAGATGTCACATTTTTTAAAACAATCTTTATGTAGTGAGTTTTTCTAAATATATTATGAAAGTAATAAAAAAAATATGATTACGATTATCGTATAACATCATAGTCACTAAAGTGTAAAACTTGATAATAAAACTAGTCACTGAAAGTTACAAACTATAGTCACTACACTTAAGATGTCACGTTTTTGTCACTAAAGTTAAAACTTGATTACATTTATGTCAATAATATAATCTTGGGAAATTTACCCCACTATTACTAAAAGAGAGTGGATTTCCCATTGTATGACTTAAAAACTCAATTGATCAAAATATGACCAAAAGTTAGTAACCGTGATTACAATAACTGAAAAACAAGCAATTTTTTTTTACCTAATGCATATGGAACGTGGGTAGCATATCATTCTCCCATCAAATTAGGAAAAAAAGTGACTAAGTCATAGATTGGGAAAAAGATAATCTTTTAGTCATATTAGAATTAATTTATAATAATCTTTTAGTCATATTATAATAATTAGAAATTTATAATTTGATAAAATGAGATAAATCAGACCATTCATAAAAAGTTTATGAATTTTATAAAATGTCTAATAATTTCATTGAGGATCTGACCCATCTATAATAAAAATTAAACAGATAAATCACATTAAATTTAATCAGATAAAAAAGCATCACATAAGAGTAGTTCATTGTTTTAATTTAAATAAAATGGTTTCGAAATTATTAAAAATGGGGGCAATTTTGAGCAATTATTTAAAAATATAAAATAAATATATTTATGTTTTACCAATTTTACATAATTCGAAGTGGAATAATTAAAAAAGAAAAAAGCTAGTCGGATCCACACTTCCAATTAAGTTCCAACAAGAGGTTTTATCCAATTTAAAAAACAAAATCTTCTTCTACCCGACAAGAGTATTTTTACGCGAAAACTCTAAAAAGGTCCCGTACTGTGGGAAAAGAAAAGAAAAAGGTTAATTATCAAAATAGGACTAAAATTCAATCACTTTGCACAAATAGGATCAAAAATTAAACTATGTTTTCATAGGACCAATTATGTGTCTTGGACAAATATACCCTTCTAGCTATTGAAATGTTTTAATTCATAATAAAATAATAAAAAATAATAATAATTCGTAAAAAATACTAAAAAACTAATAAAATATTTCGATAATAATAATTAATTAATTTATGCTTTTTCAAAAAATAAAAAAATTAAAAAAAAATTTTAAAAAATAAAAAACTCAAAAAAATAAAATCAAATTCACTGCCGCGTCTGTCGCCTCTGCACCACCACCTCCAGTCACCGGGAAAAAAATGCCAAGTTCATTACGAATGTGATATTTATGGCAGAAAATAACGAAAATGTTGGCATTCTCAAAGAGAAATATGCCATGTTTTTGGCATTTTCAGGAAAAAATGGCATTTTTTCACCGTCCGGAGATGGTGGTGCAGGGAGGTAGTACAGGCGGTGGGAAAGGCATCCATATTTTTTTTTAATTTTTTTTATGGAGTTTTACTATTTTTTATTAATTTTTTTAAAAAATAAAAAAAAAAATAAAAAAATATATTATTTTATTTTTTTATTTTATAAATATTTTATAAATTTTCTAATTATTTTTCAACGAATTTTTGAATTTTTTCGAATTTATTATGAATTAAACATTTAATTAACTCATATTTAAAGGAAGGGTAAGAATGTAAGGAAAAAATAGATATGTTTCCTAGATGACTAATTTGATCTTATGTTGAAAAAAATATATAATAAGTCCTATTTTGTCATAGTTTTAACCCTATTTGGAGTAATTTATAAAAAGAAAATGTTTGGGAGGAGCTAGGTTATTAATGAGGTAGATTCTATGGTACCCTTAAGGTATCATACTTTTATCCACATGGACCAATCAAAATGATGTAATTGAATTATTTAAATCTAAATTAAAAATGATATAATGATTTGAATCAATCAAGTGAGTGATAGGTACGATACCCCATTTTTTAAATGAGTACCGGAGTTGTCACCTATTAATGATTGAGTACGATACGTACCTAAAGGCGCGATCGTCGGCGCCTTTGTGAGTGCGAACAATGTGCTCAAGGGTGTACTTGGCGCGGGCGAAGTCGCGGCGGCGATTGGACAGGACGAGGGCGGAGCAACCCATGCGGAAGAAGCAATTAGGGAGGAGCATGGAGCGATCCTTGCCGGGGTACCAGTTGAAGCCGACCATCTCCGTGCTGACGACGAGGGCGTAGTTGTTAGGGTTGGCCTGGAGCATGTCGCGCGCGAGGTCGAGAGCGATGATCCCGGCGCTGCACCCCATCCCCCCCAGGTTAAAGCTCAGGATGTTCCCTCTCATCTTGTAGTGGTTTATGATCATCGCCGACAGCGACGGCGTCGGGTTGAAGATACTGCAGTTTACCACCAGCACTCCGATGTCCTTCGGCCGGATCCCCGTCTTCTCCAGCACCTCGTCTATCGCCCCGAACATCACCATTGACGCCTCCGCCCGCCCTTCCTTCATCGTCGCCGTCTTTTCCACCGACCCGATCGACTTCGGCACGTACGTCTCGTCCCCGATGCCCGACGATTCTAAGATTCTCTTCTGGAACTCCAGGCTTGCTTCGTCGAATTTCCCCGATTGCCGAGCCAACTCGATGAACTGCTCCTTTGTTACCTGTTCATTTGTGTATGTGCATGTCATCCATCGTTAATTACGTACTATTTAGAAATAAAGTAATTGTCCGTAATTTAAAGCATACTAAAAAATACGTAGTACATGATACAAGTATCTCATTTAATAATTTTGTGATTTATTTAACACTCTTGTGATTGATCCAAATTTTTCCGAATATGAGTTTTTCTGCACCTTATAAAAAATTCAACCTAGTTCTTGAATATGGAAATTTATTTACTAAAATTAAACGTTTAATTGATGGAGATCAGTTCACTTTATGTTCATTTAATTAAACATCATAAACCAAAAATTAAAACAGAAACGTTAGTGTGGGATGAGAGACTGCATTTTATTACTCCCTCCGTCCCAATTTGTAAGATACTTTACGGTTTACGATGTTTGACCGACGATAAAGCAAGTTGATCCCTGTCAACACTCAAGTTAGTTTTAGAAAATAAAATTTATATATTCACAAACTACATTAAAACCGCTACGAAACCTGCAAAGAATAATTCAAATTTCATAAACTTTTGATATATAAAGTAAAAGATTAAGAGTGATTTATGTTGACCGAGTGAATAGTAAATGTATCTTACAATTTGGGACTGAGGGAGTACTAGTTAAGATGACATATATATAAATATATGTATGTATATATATATGTGTATGTATATATATATGTATATATATACTACCTCCGTCCCTTAATTAACTTTACATTCAATATTTCACGGTCTCCAACGTTGATGTTTGACCATTGATATGTAAAAATATACATTTCAATCATATATAGGAAAATGAAGAAATCAAAATTATTTTGATATTATAAAATAATACAGTTATTGTGTAATTAACGATCAAAGTTTACAAAGTTTAATAAGGACCAGAGGGAGTATATATATAGTACTCCCTTCGTCCCATATTTATCTTCGTAAATATAAGTTTACGATGCTTGACTGACGATAAAGTAACTTGATCCCTGTTCACACTCAGATTATTTTTAGTAAATTAAATTTACATATTCAAAAACTACATTAAATCCGTTACAAAGTCTGATCAAGAAAATTTAAATTTGATAAAATTTCGATATATAAAGTAAAGGATTAAGAGTAATTTGAGTTGACCATGTGAATAGTAACTATGAAGATAAATATGGGACGGAGGGAGTATTAATTTCCAATCAGTAACTATATATGGTAGCAAAAATTCCATCGAAATGACATTTATTTTGCTATCAATATGTTATTACTGTTTGATGATGTTTATCTCACCTCATTATTGTAAGTTGGCTTGATGATGATATAATAACTTGATAATGGTTGTATGAAGTGTAATTTTTATTCACCATAGCATTCACGATGACATAATAAATTAACTTCTACTTTTATTTTTACCAGATATAGCAATCAAGTTATCACGGCCCTATTTTTCACTTTCGCAAAATTGGGGTCTTCGATCTTCTCTTATTTTAAAAATTAAAATGCTTTAGTTGAATTAAAAAAAATAATCAAGTTTGATATGTATACTTCAGATCTTGAATTAGTCTGCTTTGTGTTAAAATCTCACACCGGAAAAGTTTGAATCAGCGGAGTGCTATATTAAGACATGAACTACTCCTCCTATCAGGTTGATCTTTTAGGATGGAACCTCAGGTCTTAACATGGTATCAGAGAAAAACCGATCCATAATCATGGTGTGGGCCCCCTTATGAAAAATGATGACACGATTAAAAAAAGACAATGACGAACCGATGAAAAAATGACTGACGGCACGATCCAGACGAAGTGCCTGATCGTGAGGAGGGGTGTTAGAATCCCACACCGGAAAAGTTTGAATCAGCAGAGTGCTATATTAAGACATGGACTACCCCTTCTATCAGATTGACCTTTTAGGATAGAACCTCAGATCTTAACACTTTGCTAGATTTTATTTTATATACGTAATATGTTTTACTAATGATATAAGTTTTATATTGTTTAGTCTAGTTTCTTTTAATTACGTAAGATTCCAAATTTTCTTTTCTTGAATAAAGTTGACTGCATGTTAGTGTGCGTTTTTTGCCTGGCCGGATTGTCGTATATAGAGTGAGGTCATGTGACTTATGGTCGGGTGATCACAAATTTATTGAATCTAACAAAAAAAATACGGGATCCGGATTCCGGATTGTTTTTTTAAATGTACGATAAAGTTGAAAGAATTTGTATTTGTAATTATCACCGAGTGAAACCTCAATAGCATCTAATAAGATTAATTCGATCAATATCCTTAGCTAATTGGAAAAATAAATTAAACTACTCCGTATTAAATTTGAGGGTCCCATGCATGAATCAGTGACCCTGAGTTAATTGGAAAGTATTAAATCAGGCAGGTAATTGATATCAGTAAAATAAAAATAGGGAAAGTTCCTTAAATAGGATTAAAATTGTTTGAAAATTCGAAAATAGGACGGTCATGTTTTTTATTGCCAAAATAAAAGTCATTATTGTCGAGTTTAGAAAATAATGTCATGTTTGAAGTCTGGTACTGGCAAAACATGATAGTAATTAGTCCTATTTTGGGACTAAAAACATGACAATCCTATTTTGAAATTAATTTTCAATCCTTTTTAGTCTTATTTCGGGTAATATTTCGTATATACTCCCTATAATATACTTGTATGTGTGACTTTATCACTGGTCAAACGTTAATTATAAACTGAAAGGGACCGAATATACTTCGTATAACACCAATCAAAAGAAGAACGAAAAAAAAAGATAAATTTACCCAATAGATTAAAAAATTAGGACTCTGAATCATTTATTTTCAAAACATGACTCAAATCTATTTATTCTATTTATTCTTATAATATAACCAAACAAGTCCTTTTTTATCCTATTATAAAACTGTGTATGGTTTAGTCTATAATATAAGTAATAATTATATATGACTAAAATTAAGATTGTTTACAAAAATATGACTAATGACTAACTAGTAATGAGATCATAATACGTCATGTTCAATTTTTAAACTTAAGTTACTACTACGTATGAAATTACCTTGTGGTAACTATTCATCATATATATTCGTGTAAATGAGTTTAATTTTAGTCATATGTTTGAAAAAAAACCATACTATAATGACCAATTTCTAAATAAAAAATCAATTGAAAACTCAATTAAATATGAGTCCGTATTCGTCTTATTATCTACTCCCTCAGTCCCATATTTATGTTCGTAGTCCGGTTTACGATGCTTGACTGAGAATAAAGCATTTTGATCCATGTTCACACTCAGATTATTTTTAGTAAATTAAATTTACATATTCAGAAACTACATTAAATCCGCTACAAAGTCTGATCAAGAAAATTTAAGTTTGATGAAAATTTGATATATAAAGTAAATGAGTAAGAATAATTTGAGTTGACCATGTGAATAGTAACTATGAAGATAATTATGGGACGGAGGGAGTACTATATATAAAATAAACTTGCATACCTTGAGATCATCACTGGGTTTGAAGCAGGCAAAATCAAGAAGATAAATAGGGCGGGGCTTGGACATGAAGTAAACAGAGAGGGTGAAGACAAGCAAAGCAAGAAAAGACAAGACGGTGGCCAAGTCGTACTTGGCAGTGCTATCCCAAAGCTTCTGCCACAGCTCCGCCCTACTAAGGCTCCCAACCTCCACGCCGAAAACCAGCAACAAGAGCGGCACGGTGGCCAAGTATATCCCATGGTTTATCAAGTTATGATACCCTAATTTCACGTACTTGAGATTCACGGACTGCACGAAATCCGGCAGCCGCCTCCGGACCCTCACCGAGAACGTCATGGATCCGGCATCCGGTCCCGATGATTGGATGCCGCGGTTGACGATCTCGGTGGAGAGAAGGTGTTCCTCACCGCCGGAGGCCATGCCTTGGATCTCTCTTCACTATCTAAGCTGCTGGTCTTAATTTTGCTAGCTAGCTAGCTTGGAAAGACTTGATGGCGGAATTGAATTGAAGTATGGTGGTTGAAGGATATGATAGCAAAACCTAGCTAATAATGAAAGTTATTTATAATGAACGAAGATAGATAGATGGATGAAGATAAGTGTGTGCGATTGTGGGGGGGAGTTGAGGGTTCGGAGAGGTACATTTATTGTGGAAGATGAGCGATATAAGATGGAGCTAGCTAGATGGTACGTACGTGACAGACTGACATAAATGAGTACATTTACTTCCGTCACTTGCTGCAAATAAAAATAAAAATAAAAAATATAAATATAAATATAAATACTCGGTATAAATTAAAATAAATATAATAATATAATAACAATAATATAATAACAATAATAAAATAATAATAATAATAATAATCCAGAATAAACTTCCCATTTTATTGGGATATATATATATATATATATATATATATATATATATATATATATATATATATATATATATATATATATATATATATATATATATAGGGGCGGATTCAGGAATGAAGAGTGGGGTGAGCTTAGCAGGAAAAAAATTGTTATTACAAACAAAAAGTTTAGCTTAGGTTGCTTAGGGTCGTAATCGAATTAAGTTTTTTTCGAACTACGCGAATTCGAGTGTGATTTCGAATTTAATTTAGTGATCTGAGCTTAAAAAGCTTTTTTTAACTCGAACACGAGCTAGATTTTGAGTTCGAATAGTTGTTCAAGTTGAGTTCGAGCATAGTGGTATTCGGTTTGATCCGGACTCAAGTCTATCAATAACTCGTAAATTATAGAAATAAAATTTATTTATCTTAAAATTTAAACATTTTCATTGCAATTTTTTAAATATATTTGAACAATAAAAAAATAGAGTTCATATATCTATTTTATTCAAGCCGAGTTTGAGCATAAATTAAATTAATAATCAAATAGAATTACATAACTATTAAATAAAACTAATGCACTAATAAAACTTTTATAATTTTATTATTAATAATAATAATTTTAATAATAATAATAATAGAAACAGTATATGACCAAATAAGGATAGTTGATAAAGAGTAACTTAGTTATTTTAATGATTATAATTATGTTTAAATTTTAATGCTTATAAAAGTTACTCATGGTGACTTGGGTCAAATAATAGTAATATTCATATAATAATAACAGTATTATAATAATAGTAATATAATATTAATCATAAAATTTATGTTGTAAAATAATATTGTAAACTTGTAATATAAAGTGCTTTCATTGATGGTGTGGGTGGGTGGGTGAGATGAGATTGCATAATTTGCAGCTGGCTCCAAACACCAACTACATACAATTGTTTAATACTCCGTATGTAAAGTTTTGCTCCTCAATTTATCCCACACCGACTGCAAGGATGGTTCACCCTCCTGAGTGTCCTATATATAAATCACTTCTTGGTGCAATCACACCAAGCTCTATTATTACGCATCGGGATCATTTGTTCTCGGGATCATTTGTTCCCATGACTATGGGCTTTAAACAAAGTTTGGGCAGCCTTTTGCTTTTAAAGCTTCTTAGAACACTTCCTTGTAGATTTGGGGTGGGCTGAGTTTTAATTTTTGGGTGGGCTGAAAATTAAATCTCTTTCTATATTAACAAAAAAAATTGGGTTGGGCTGGGCTAGAGCCCACCCTAGGCTCTACATAGATCCGCCCATGTATATATATATATATATATATATATATATATATATATATATATATATATATATATATATATATATATATATATATATATATATATATATATATATATATATATATATATATATATATATATAGGGAAGAGTTTAAATGAAAAGTGGTCTTCCCGTGCAAAGTGCAAAGTTTTCACTTTTTCATGTTTCGTTTGCACTTTTTGTTGTTTGCGTTGCACTTTATGGCCATTTTGATTTTGACCAAATTCGGCCAAAATGACGGTGACAGTTTTGTAAATAAACCAATTTTTTTGAGCTATCGTGAAAAAGTGCAACGAAAACAAGAAAAAGTGCAAACGAAACATGAAAAAGTGTAAACTTTTCACTTTGCACGTTAAGACCTCTTTTTATTTGAACCATCCCCTATATATATATATATATATATATATATATATATATATATATATATATATATATATATATATATATATATATATATATATATATATATATATATATATATATATATATATATATATATATATATATATATATAGGGAGCGGTTCCAATGAGAACACCCCTTATTGTGAGAAGTGAGAACAAATCTTAACCATACATCTTAGTAAATTAAGGGACATAAAAGGATGAGATGCACGGATGTATGGTGGGAGTGCAAACATTAAATAAATACTCTTGCATTCTCTAATCCATACGTAGGTTGATTGAAGGGCAGTAGAGTAATTTTGAAAATTCCTTAAATGTGGTAACGTTGGAGGTTTATCACTAACCAAAAAAATAGGAAGATATAAAAGGTCAAATAAAATAAAATATTTTAGTTTAAAAATTGATTTAACTTTTTGAATTATAATCTGATTTTAACAAAAATTATATCAAATTATGTAATTGTTTATTATCTTTCATATGACATCAATATGTCATATGTTTTTTTTTAATACGTATAATATGTATATAATTGATGGAGTATATGGCCCGAGAACCCCCGGCCCACAGACTCCTACTACTCCAGCGAAGGCCCAACAGGCCCAGAAGGCCCAGCAGGCCCAAATCACAGCGCCCAGAGTACCAAGCAGCTCGCACTACGCGCCAGGGGTGCCTTCGGCCCCCCGGCCGAAGGCTCTAAATTCTCACAGAACGGGTTTCTCAAGCAAACTAAGAAACTGGGAGAAAAACGGCGAAAACATCAGCCCTCGGCACTGTGAGCCCTCGGCACCAGGGTGCCATCGGGTGGAAGAGCCCTCGGCTACTGCTCTATGGCCGAAGGTATCTCACTCGACAAGATATCCGCCTCACATGCGTACAGATCACCGTACCCCGCACAGACGTCCCATCCAACAGCCGCATTAAATGCGGCCACATGCGGCTGCCAGCGCCAACCAGTTGAGGTGACCCCTCGACCAATGAGCGCTTGACACGTGTCCCTGCCCGGCATTTATTGCTACTATAAATAGTACCCCATTTCCCCATTTGTAACGACGCTTAATACATATCGAAGATACACTCTCTCTCTTACTTGTTTGCTCTGACTTCTCTCTAAGTTATTCCCCGTAATAACCCTTCGGATATATACCCCCGGGTAGACTATCCATCATTTGGTGCTCTCGTTGAGAGGTTGAACAACTTTCAGATTTGGGTTTAGGAACAACTTTACCTTCGGAGTCCACCTTAGTAATGACGTTATCACCTGCCTCAATTACATTCCATACCTGATAGTTCTCAGCTTTGATGAAGTTCTCCATTCGACTCTTCCCGAATTGGTAAAATTTGCCGTTGAACAACGGTGGTCGTTGAGTCGAGTATCCTTCTTCCAATCGTTCAACCGTATTCATGCTGCCGGATCTCTTCCCAAGGTATTAACCTTTATGTGGCGAAGACTGGCTCTGATACCAATTGATGAAACGGTTAGCAACACAAGGGGGGGTGAATTGTGTGTGTATGGAACTGTGGCAGTTTTTCGCACAGTTCTAGTATGGGGTCCACGGAAATGCGAAATAGTAAAGTGCACAAGGATTTAACGAGGAAAAATCCCTTGGCTCAAAGGAATTAAAAAACCTCGACCTCCCTCTGAGGAATTTTCAACAACTTCACTAATAAGCTTTTTGTGGTTACAAGGTAAATTCTCCTAATCTACCCTTGAGCCACCCCAACTCTATCCTCTCTAGGAAGAGTTATGCATCTCTACCTTGTGGGTAGAGAGCCTCTCATCTTTACAACAAAGCTCTCACACACACGACCCCAACAAGAGGAAGCTACACTTAAGCTTTTCCTCAACCTTCAATTACAAAACAAAGAGGAGAAAAGAACTATATCTAGAACTCCGTAAGCAGGCCCAGTTGCCTTGGTCTTGATACTCTCTTATAAGTATTTCTCTCTATAATTGTTCGGTCAAGCACGCCCTCTTGCTCTTGATCCTTCGAATATATATATAGGCTAGAAGATGTCCGTTGATCCTCCTTTCTCTAGAAGCTTGGTGGACTTGCCTTGATATTATTTGAATTACTTTCCTTCCAGTAGATTCTTCCTTATTCGTTCAAGCATGAGTAAATCAATTTCATGATTTATGAATCATCATATAAGGAAATATAGATTTACATATCATGTAAATATGCAATGGACATTAAGTAGCAATGCAATCAATTTAGATCGAGCTACAATAATATCACATTGGAAAAGCTACGGTCAACTTTTAATTAATAATGGCAATCAAATTAAGATGACAAGATAGCATAATATTATATAGAAGGAAGTAGTATATTGGCTTGTCAAATATAAGCATGTGACGCACATTATGTAGCCATAAAATATTTATGCAATCAACGATTAGTAAGGTATTCATGTAGGCAAGTCAAGATACTTTCCAAAAATATTCATTTAATATTTTAACACTAAGTGATAAGGAAATATTTACTTAGTGGATCCAAATATGCTACGGTCAATTGCTGCAGGATTTAAGTAATGATTCTTTCCATAACCTATAAAGCTATATAGACCAACTCATTAAAGTGAGTGCTTAGTCATGTATGATCAATCATTCATATAGAACAGAAATAAGTATAGTTCTAATTTCCACCAGTTCTGTCCGCCGTTATACCTGCGTGGTTAGATATCAGTAGGACCAATCATAGGATAGTTTTCATCTTTTGTTCCTGCATGTTTAGTCATCAACAGTTCCTTCTTTCGTTCCTGCATGGTTAGTCATCAACAAAAATAAATATTCAACACTATTAGTAAAAAGAATTTAAAATTCTGATTATGAAATTTTGTAATGAGACGAATTCAACAATAACTTAAAAAAATAATTTTCATATATTAATAAATAAAATACAGCCAAAGTAAAGTACATGAATAGTATAAATTTTTCATGTTGCAACTAAAAATACAGAGGATAGTATTAAGTTTGAAAACATTAAGAAAATTTAAAATAATTCTTAAAGGATATAAGAATAGAAAATAAAATGCTTTAAATT